AAAATCCGTACTTTTGTAAATTAATCTGCGAAATAACCACAAGTTTTTTTTCCCACGAGAGGTATTTTTAAACGTTTTTATATCGTTAATATAAGAACCTAAGCTCCATTGAACATATTTTAATCCGTTTTCCTCGTCGATATGCAGTTCAACAGAGCGAGGCGCGCTCCCGCGACTGGGGATGCATATTTCGGCAGGCATGCACTTTTGGGCATAACACCGGTGTTCTGTTAACGGGGTTCTCATAAAAACCTTTAGCTGTGCATAAAATATTTTAGGGGGCTAATAGCTCTAATAATTGTTTGAAATTCACTTTTAGTTATTTGCAGTATATATTTAATACTGTATAGTTCTAATAAAGTCTAGTTCTAATATATAGTATATAAAAAAAGAAATATATATATATATATATATATATATATATAGCTCTAATATTAAATATATCTAATATAGTTCTAATACACTGCAAAAACGATATAAAAATGAGTAAAAATGTCTTAAATTAAGTGTATTTACCCTGAATTTGAGCAGGTAAATAAGACGATTTGCCAATGGAATGAGTATTTTTACTCTTAAAATAAGATAATTAGATAATATGCACTTGCAATAAGGCAGTAGAATTGTTTTTTCTCATTTTACATTTAAATTGTCTTGTTCCATTGGCAAAGTGTCTCACTTACCTCCTTAATTCAAGAAAAAATGCACTAATTTTAAGAAAAAAATCACTTATTGAGATTTGAATTTTTTGCAGTGTATAGTATAGTTCTAATAAAAATAGAATGTAATCAAAATATTTATTAGAACTATAGTAATGTTCTGCCTAACCTGCTCACAGCTTCTCTTGTCTGAACTCAGTTTCTGCAGGATTGTGTTTTCAGCTCCAACGGAGGGTAAACTGGTTTTCACAGGCTGTTGTGATGCTCTAACAATAGCGTAGCTAAAATATAGCCTTGCACATTTTTTAAGGGGTGATTTGACTCAACACTTATGGCCACAAAGTCTTTAAAAAGAATTCAGCCTCTGCTGCCTGTGGTCGGATATAAAGCAGTTTGCTGAAGTGAGGCACTGAGAGCTCACTTCCTCTGTTTCAATCAATCAATCAAGTCCTTTATCTACAATTCCAGTTATTTATTTACAACACTCAAAAGGAAGTTGAGGAGGTTGTTCTGCTTCTCTTTTCTTTAGTATGTTGACTTTTTTTTTTAAATTAGTCATCTCTGTTGCAAAATTCCTTAGGAAGTTGTTAGTTTTCCAGCTTTACTTCATACAGACACTCATAATCTGCTCCTTACATAGATGTTTAGCAGGTAACATGTGCAAATAGAGTACCAAGGGGCCCCATTATATCACACACATACACTTGTTCCTTCCTAGAATCCCTCCTCCTTGCTTGTGGACCCATTTCTGCTCACTCATCCCTTTTGTCTCTATGAAGCTTCAAACCGAGCGTGCCCTCCTTGAGCACCCTCTGTTTACAAGTTGCTGTTTGCTTCGGTCATTAAAGCTTACTTTCCAAAAGAAGGTTTGCAATTTTTCCCTTACAGGGTTGTGCATGTAAATTTTTTCTTAAAATTTAATCTTTTCTTTTACATTTTTGAGGTAGCACACTCATCATGAAGGTCTGTCGAAGAATTCAAATGAATGATTTTAATCTAGATTAATTCCAATATTACAGTGAGATAAAAAAAAAAATCTATGCCAACCACTAATGTTTTTACCACATGCCTCATGAACAGCTTATCAGTCGCTACAGACGAATACAGGAAACCTCGAGCTCTAACTGCTTTGACACAGATGTAAAGTAGGCCATTTTTTTAAAAGTTGACTACGCAGAGATGGGGGATCTGGAGTCAACAGGTCATCTCTATCTCATATATATCTGTTCTGCTCAACCACTGAACCAGGTGAGTCCAATCTGCAGGGGTTAGTTCACTCTACAGGTTGGACTCACCTGGGCGCAGGGGAAGTTTTGAGGTGTGTTTTCTCGTTAAAACGTAACTTCTGCAGTTAGCCGGAGATGACGCTAAATGTCTTAGCTTAGTAAGCAGCACACACCAGCCTGCCTTGGAGACCCTGGGCTCCGCCGCTTCGAGAAATTTCAAATGGACTGTTTTGAGATGTAGTTTCTTGATTAAAAACATCTTTAAACAGGCCTTAATCTGTTACTGCTGCTGCTAGTGGAATAATACCCCGTTCAGATTGCATGCCGTAGAGGCAGAAGAAGCAGCTAGTTTACAAGCAAAGTCAATGGTTGATGTGCGTCAAGGTGGAGCAAAAGGTCCTGCAGTGCATTTTGAGCAGCAGGAGTAGCGTGTCTGATTTGTTGAAGCAGCTCCTCATGAGCATCTGACGCTCAGGATACTTTCTCACTTAAAAATATATTAAAACAAATTTCCACCAACTTATAACAGAAAATATAAAAAATCCGAAAACAGGAGCCTCAGACGCGCCTGGACACACTTTACTGGATGTACTTCAGGCGCATCACAGATGCTCTTGAGGTGCGTCTCACCTTAATGTGAACAATCATGAAGAATAAAGCAGAATAAGCTTTTTTTGCTGTTTCCAGCACTTGCAGTCTGAACGTAGCATGAAGCGTTACAGCTGAACACAAACTACCCCTCAAAATCCCAAGAAGTACTGCGCTTACAGAGGCTCCAAAGCCCGGGGAAAGTGAATATACCGCAAGTAAATGTGTATGGAAACTAGGGCTGCAAATAACGATTATTATACCAATCAGTTTATCTGTCTATCCCATTAATAATCGGATAAAAGTTCCTTAATTAAGATATTTGCTAAGTTAAACTAGGTGAAACTTAAATTTGTGGAGTTCTGGATAGAGCCTATTGACAGATGAAAAAAAACTTTTTTTTAATCTTAAATAAAAATGGTTTATATATATATATATATATATATATATATATATATATATATATATATATATATATATATATATATATATATATATATATTTATTAGGGATGGGACGATTTATGAAAACCGTCCGAACCGTTCGGTTCGACTGTCTCGGTTCGATTTGCGTGTGTCTCGTTCGGTTCATGCTCTGCTCCTTTTTCTCATAGGCGAAGCGTCTACACTCCAGAGCAGAAGGTGGCGGTACTGCGACCAAAGCCAACCACCAGTATTAAACAAGAAGAAGAAGAAGCGAAGCAGCGTAGCCGGGTGTAGCAGGGAAAAAAATCGGTTGTTGTGGAGAATTGTGTGGGTATGGCGAGTGGGAAAGAACAGGAGTTGGAAGACGCGCCAGCAGCACTTTATAGGTCTGCTGTATGGGACCACTTTGCATTTAGAGTGACCTACGATGACGACGGAAAGAAAGTTGTGGATAAAAGTGCAACAGTGTGCAAGCATTGTGCAACACGTTTTGTTTATGCTAACAGCAACACGACCAACATGTCATGCTAACCCCGAAATCCCTCATACTCCGTCAGCAACCCCCGCTCCGCCCCGCTGCGCTGCGCTCCAGACCGGCTGCTCAAAGCAAAGCTTACAGCCTTTGCTTGGAGCCTCCTACAATTCTGATATAATTCCTGCTCTAAGTGGGTCGCTTTGTCGGCTAAAGGCAGATTTTAGAGTCTCTATACTCCAGTTTAACTTTATTACTAAATGTAATGAGGAGAGCACTCTAGCTGCTTCCCTGCCAAATGCTGAAACATTCCCAGCCAGCTCCTCCTGGGCCCCTCCGGCTTCCATGCCTTCTACAGCATCGTCTGTCGCTGCTAAACCTGCCGATGGCAGTCAGAGGAAAAGTCATAAACGGAGAAGCCACCATTTCACCATTGTTCATGTGTGCTCTACTGTTGTGTTCAAACAAATCAAAACTGCATTCAGTCAACCTTAGCATTGCAAAATGGAGGAGGGCATGACTGAGGTCAGTGGAGCTGATGAACTGAGGCAGTAAACGCCTCAACACAAAGACAGCTGCTCTCTGTAAAGGTTAAAATACTTCTACATTGAACTGCATTGCTGTTTGGTTAAAAATATGGCCTGCTGTCCTTTCCTGATGTTTTCTTACTGAGGTCCCTGTCACACCTTGTAGATTTCGCCAGCGTATGCCTGACGTCTCATAATCTCCTAAAACGCTGGCATACGCTGAACTTTCTATGTACTTTTTCAATTTTGGATGAACACAGAGTATTCATAACGAGTCCAGAACTTATGTTCAACAACGACAGACTAACTTGTGCATAAAGCAAGGCAGCGTAACGCCCATGAAATTATGATTGTCCGTCATTACGAAGCATAAGTTAAAGGTGCTCCCCTCAGGAGCAGCGATGCGCCTGGAGGCGCCTGTCCTGCATAAAAACATTTCTTTGATTGCAAAAAAAGAATAAATAAATCGAAAAAGGAAAGACCTTCTGGCTCACCCTCTGATGGGGATGAAGTCTGGAGGAGAACTGACGGTTTCCTCCTGTGAACCCCCTTTATGCCAAAACGCTGCCAATACGCCATTATACAGTAGCTGGAAGTTAGAAACACGTTCAGCGCTCGACTGGAACACGTCAGATATGTTGATATGCGTTGGAGAGAAGTTCTTGATAAGATACGCATCAGTTATGCACATGTTAATCATAGCTGTTGGATAAGCTAGACGTCACGACTGATAAGTAACTTATACTTAACATATGTAATGATTAGATAACTTACCTGTAACTTATGGCCCATGAAGGAGCATACGCTGGCATTTTGAGCATTCTCAAAATTTCTTGACGTACTTGTTTAAAGTTGACGTGTTACAGCATGCTTCAGCTTGCTCATAACTTATATACAACGTACCCATAACTTATGCAACGTATGCCAGCTTTTTGCCAGATTTTACACTGGCTAAATCGTCAAGGTGTGACAGGGACTTGAACTCTTGTTGGTGCAGAAATAGTCAGACTTTATGAAAAGTCAAATAAATAACCCTAGCTATCTGATGCCCCATTAAAAAGAGGAAATCTGTTTCCCTGACACAGCCGGTCTTCTTGCTGTTGCAGGTATGACACTGGAAAAGACGGCTTCATTGACCTGATGGAGCTGAAGCTGATGATGGAGAAGCTGGGAGCCCCACAGACTCATTTGGGCCTGAAGAACATGATCAAAGAAGTGGATGAAGACTTTGATGGCAAACTGAGCTACAGAGAGGTAAGGGGAGGGGTTATTACTCAAAGCTAGAAGAGCCGTTCCTGCGTCTGCTGCGACATTCCTACACAGGAATAATCCCAGTAGCACTCAGACGGACTGTCATCCTGCTGCAGCGCTGACGGCTTTTATAGAACAATCGATTCCAGGCTCATTTTCAACTTGGCTTTTTTTTTTTTTTTTTTTTTACATTTGATTGTCTTTTCCCGTCAGTGTAAACATAATGTCAGTTTTTCTGAATTATTAGCATTATTATTATTAATATTATTTAAATCTGAACATAAAACCAAAGACAAATGTTCTTCTAATGGATCCCTCTGATATTTATGTTCAGTAACCATTCATGTCGGTCCAGATAATGGGTCTAATGCTGACATGGGACCTGTAACCTCTATTGCAGATGATTGTCATATGAACACAGAGGTAAACGGCTGCTATGAACAGGTGTGGTTGTTTTCCTGGTTGCAGTTCCTGCTGATCTTCCGTAGAGCTGCAGCTGGAGAGTTGCAGGAGGAGAGCGGTTTGATGGCCCTCGCCAGGCTCTCTGAGATCAATGTCTCCACTGAAGGAGTGATGGGGGCCAAAGACTTCTTTGAAGCCAAGGTATGCTAAGAGCGCTGACTAACCGTCCGAAAAGTCACAGTTTGCTTAAGTTTCGTGGAAAATTTCACGTCCTCTTTTACTTAGCCTCATAGTAAAACAGGAAGTAGTGTTTTTTGGTGGGTGTGTGAATGACGGAGACAAAACTCTGAAAGTTTAAAAAGCTGGACAGAGATGGTAGTTTAAAGGAGAAGTTCGGTTTTTTACACTTTAAGCCCATTTTCTGTAGTGTCCAGGATGAAATCGAATGATCGACACCAACATTTTGACAATTGGTCCTGTCTCTGCTTTTTGGCTCATGCAGAATCCCCCCCTGGCTGCTTTAGAATGGCTAGCATAGAGCATGTCCGATAATGTCCTTAAAACAACCTTAAACGTTATTTTTTTTAAATATGCTACTCACAGTGTCGTCAGCGCTGTTCAATGACGTTCCAAAAAAAGTTTCGTGAAGAAAAAACGTTCCTGTAGTGTTTTATTTAGCATTTTGTAAATCCCATTGCGTTCTGTAGGAATAGTCAATATTCCGCTGCCACCGGAAACGGAAATGGAGCCTGTTTACACAGTTGTAGTCTTTTCGCTTCACTCTGTGTACTCCGACGTCGAGGTGCTAACGTCTCTGTTAAACACTTTAAAAAACTCTGAAAATGGAATACGAAAGGTGGATTCTTGATTCTCGACGTCGGAGTACACAGAGTGAAGCGAAAAGACTACAACTGTGTAAACAGGCCCCATTTCCGTTTCCGGTGGCAGCGGAATATTGACTATTCCTACAGAACGCAATGGGATTTACAAAATGCTAAATAAAACACTACAGGAACGTTTTTTCTTCACGAAACTTTTTTTGGAACGTCATTGAACAGCGCTGACGACACTGTGAGTAGCATATTTAAAAAAAAGAACGTTTAAGGTTGTTTTAAGGACATTATCGGACATGCTCTATGCTAGCCATTCTAAAGCAGCCAGGGGGGGATTCTGCATGAGCCAAAAAGCAGAGACAGGAGCAATTGTCAAAATTTTGGTGTCGATCATTCGATTTCATCCTGGACACTACAGAAAATGGGCTTAAAGTGTAAAAAACCGAACTTCTCCTTTAACTTTTATTTTATTTAGTTGGAGAAAATTCACAATATGTTTAATCTAAAAAAAAAAAAACCCCACATATCAATTTTCTATCTTACTGTATATGATTCAGATTAACCCAGTATTTAGTCATTTATTAAAAAAAGAACCCTGGTTAACCACATTAGCCTAGTTCCAGTTATACTGGTGAGACATTCAGTTCACAGGAAAAAAAACAACAACTAAGAGCATCTAAAGATGATACATAAATAGGTAACATGATGACAACCTGATTAGTTGATGTGAAAAATTAAAAGAATGCAAAGCATTAAAGGAAAAGTGCATCTAGCAATGAATGATCAATGGATCTTTATCTATACCTAAAACTAATGCGTTCACGGTGATTTAATTAATTTAGCGTTAATCAGTAAAAAAACAAAAAAACAAAATAATTTTTGTTGCGTTTGCTGAGTCTGGGAGCGGCCATTATTGCCCAAATATAGTGACCCCTCCCTCCTACCATCTTCCAGCAGTGACATCACGGTGCGGTAAGCCTAGCGGCATTCTCCCCGCTTTACAAGCAACATCAATGGGAACTACTAGACACATCTGCAATCAACAACAATTATTGAAGATTTCCAGAGGACTTCACCATTGATTCACCAGAGCTATAGTGAAACTGACAATGCCCACGTGCATGGCAGCTGGATGCTGGAATACATCGGGTAAAAGGGGAAAAAAAGAGTTATTCCACCTTTCTGATTCCTGATCCTCCACGGACGGGTTGGTCGTTGGATCGCCAACTTGAAGAGGGAGGATTTGCCATCGAACTTCTGGCCAGAGAAAAAACCCGTAATATGTAGCCAACATTTGGAAGAAGAATGTTTTCAAGATGACTTGGATAATAGCGCGTTGTGACAAACACCAGATACAGCACTGGGACTTGATCAACAGCCGATACCGCACCGTGACGTCACAAACCAGTAGGTGGCAGTAGTGTTCTTTGACAAACATGGATGCCTCCAGTAAAGCACATTCACATGAAAATTACTCTGAATTAAAACACTTATCATTTAATGAACAGTAAGGAATAATTTCATATTTAAAGTACTTTAACAAGTTTGAATTCTAATTATATCCAGACTTTTCCTTTAAAGAAGCTGTTATGAATAAGCTAATTTGAAGTAGAATGTATTCATCCCTTTTTTAATGAGTCCAAATAATCAAAGGAAACTGGTTCCATAGTCATTTAGTCTAGAAGGGGCGTACCCATAGAGGTCTACTGCTCCTCCTTGGGACTATAGGTAGATGTTGGCTTTACTTGAGTTGGACCATGTGTCTCTAGCAGAGTAGTGATGGAGGAAGAAACTTGACCCTACAGGACCCTGAAATTACAGTCAGGATTTCTAAATGAGTTCTGGACCAAATTGGTAACCAGTACATTTAAGAAAGACAAGCCAAGGACATTTGAACTGCTCTGATGGGGTTTGATCCAGTTTAGTCTTGTAAAAACTGAAGAGGATCAGGGGCCCATACTCTGTGTGTGTTCATGTGTGTTACACTGGTCTAGACACATAATAAAAGAAATCAGCTACAGTTCAAAAGGTCTGATCGAAGGAGCTTTCTACAATGCTGGGAGTCTTATTTCCTTTAGACGCTCAAGTAAGTAAGATATTTTAAGAAACGTAGGAGTTTAAAGAAGTGCTACACCTGAAGTTCATGGGTATAAAAGTGACAGATATGTAATTTATTAAATGATTGAATAAATCGGCTTCATCCACAGTTAATTATCAAAAGAAACAAAAATGGCTTCTTAAAGGGTCTGTATTATGTAAAATAAATGTTTAAAGCAGATGGAGAATGATAACATAAAGCTGATCCCTCCAGGAAGCACCACCTTAACCTCGCTGTGCCGCTCAGCCTTCAGAAGCTGCGTGATACAACAACGTCATGAAATAAAAGCAGATTCATTTTGAAGGCAAATGGTTTTCTTGGAGGTTGGAATGCTAAAGGCATTATTTCATCATATACTTAAAAATAGGTGACTATGAAAGGCTTTAAAAATCATGATGTAGGATGTACACTCACTGGCCACTTTGTTAGGTACCCCATGCTAGTAACGGGTTGGACCCCCCTGACTGTGGAGGCCATTTGAGTACAGTGAACTCATTGTCATGTTCAAGAAACCAGTCTGAGATAATTCCACCTTTATGACATGGCGCATTATCCTGCTGAAAGTAGCCATCAGAAGTTGGGTACATTGTGGTCATAAAGGGATGGACATGGTCAGCAACAATACTCAGGTAGGCTGTGGTGTTGCAACGATGCTCAATTGGTACCAAGGGGCCCAAAAGGTGCCAAGAAACCGTTGATACAAGGCAGGATGGATCCATGCTTTCATGTTGTAGACGCCAAATTCTGACCCTACCATCCGAATGTCGCAGCAGAAATCGAGACTCATCAGACCAGGCAACGTTTTTCCAATCTTCTATTGTCCAATTTTGATGAGCTTTGCAAATTGTAGCCTCAGTTTCCTGTTCTTAGCTGAAAGGAGTGGCACCCGGTGTGGTCTTCTGCTGCTGTAGCCCATCTGCCTCAAAGTTCGACGTACTGTGCATTCAGAGATGCTCTTCTGCCCAGCTTGGTTGTAACGGGTGGCTATTTGAGTCACTGTTGCCATTCTATCAGCTCGAACCAGTCTGGCCATTCTCCTCTGACCTCTGGCATCAACAAGGCATTTCCGCCCACAGAACTGCCGCTCACTGGATGTTTTTTCTTTTTCGGACCATTCTCTGTAAACCCTAGAGATGGTTGTGCGTGAAAATCCCAGTAGATCAGCAGTTTCTGAAATACTCAGACCAGCCCTTCTGGCACCAACAATCATGCCACGTTCAAAGTGACTCAAATCACCTTTCTTCCCCATACTGATGCTCGCTTTGAACTGCAGGAGATTGTCTTGACCATGTCTACATGCCTAAATGCACTGAGTTGCCGCCATGTGATTGGCTGTTTAGAAATTAAGTGTTAACGAGCAGTTGGACAGGTGTACCTAATAAAGTGGCCGGTGAGTGTATATCAACAGACAGAGACAATTTGGAGGGACATATTAATGTTATCCACGATGCCAGAGCCGGTCGGATCCAAATGTTTTTATATATTGAAGAGTTTCTACGAATTGGTTATTATGGACTAGTGTTAAAGACGGCCATGATTTAAAAGATGTGCACTTTTAGGGATATATCTGTGAGCTACGGTTTCAGATAGTCATTGAAGCTCACCTTTCTCACCACGGTTTTTTGAAAATTGCCGAGGGTCGTCAGAGGAAAAAGTGTCTACGAAGCGTATGAGCAGACAAAAAAGGGCCTCAGAAGAGGCAGATATAGCCCAGAATGCTTTGCGCGGAGAGCTCTCTGCGCAAAGCATTCTTTTCTTTGAAAAGCATAGTAAAAATAATAATAATATTTTTTAAAGCAGTTAATGATTCCAACAAGCAAACTCATATTATAATTACCTTAAATATATTCTGATGGTTCTAAGAATTTAAAAGGGTGTGTGGGAATAGGAATATATGTACCAGAGTTCAAAATAAACATTTCTAAAAGAATTTCAGATTAACTATCTGTTTTCAAAGCAGAGATGGTGGCAGTTATACTGAATTTCCAATGGGTGGAGGAGTTCAGAGCAGACAGGGTATGGTGGTATGCACGGATTCCAACGCAGTTTTAGAAAGTATTCAGGGAGAAGGAAATAATAGGAAAGATTTAGTATTAGAAATTCAGCACAGTTTATTTAGATTATACAGGAGTGGCATTGATATTTGGTTTTGTTGGGTTCCAGCACATGAAGGGGTAAAAGGAAATGGAATAGGCAGACAAATTGGCAAAAAGGGCTTTAGAGGAGGCAATAACAATTACAATTCCTTTAGGGAAAGGGGAAGGGAAATC